TCTTTCTTTCTCTCTTTCTCCTCTCTCTCTCTCTCTTTCTCTCTTTCTCTCTCTCTTTCTCTCTTTCTTTCTCTCTTTCTTCTTTCTTTCTTTCTTCCTTTCTTTCTCTTTCACAGAAAGTGCTCTCTAGAAAATTTCTTTCTCAGTCACAAAATAACTTTTATTACAGATTTATAGATTTTTTAATCTACTGAAATTTGATATATTTAATTAAAAGTCATTGAAAAATAATAATTCCATGTTTCTCTATAAAACCTATATTGTAGGTCAGCCTGGTTTTTGAGAAAAGCTATTTAAGACTGCTAGTAGTTTGTCATCTTCTTTTTTCCCCCCAATTCAGGGTTTTAGTGATCTATAATAAATAGTTTGAATTTTCTCTGAAGATTTAACTGTCTGAATTATCCCTCCATTATTCCATTAATGATCATTTTATGTTACAAATAGTTTTCTAGTGTCATCTCTTTAACTATCTTTCTATTATCAGAAGCAAAACCCAAGGTGTCCTTTTCACAGCCCATCTGTCCCTGTGAGAACAGGACAGGGTGCTGTGGGAGGCTCCACTGTAGGAATGGGGGAGATGGCTGAGGGCAGTGTTTGGACTCTTTCCAAAGTGACTGAAATATCACTCATTTGTGGGGGGAAATCTTCTGAATCATGGACTGTTTTTGAAATGTCATTTTATTATTCTCAAGTTGCTTAAATTTAACTAACAATGCTTAACTAAGAATTGATAAATATACTAAATAATATAATAATGATTGATCAGTGTATAAATTTTCTGCTTATAAATGATTATCTTCAATTACAAGGTGAAACCGTGAAGTAAAAAGGATGCTTCTGGGTGGCAGGTTCCCATTTTTTTCACCAAGTTGATTAAGCATTTTCCTGGCAACCTTGTCTGTAATATTAACTTTCTTGGTAATTCTCCATAGCTAATGCAGAAATAAACCCCCAAATTCTAAGCTGGTAGTTATCTTAATTGTGCATTTCTTTAGGAAACACTTGAGCAGAATATTAAAGCCTCTGTGAACCTAGGCTTAGTCCTTGGAGCACTACCCTGAGTAACCTGCCCCCAAGGCAGACAGAGTTTTTTCCCTCCTCCAGTGAAATGCTTCACAGGCCTCCCCCATGCTGCCTTTTAGGGAAGGAAGGCTCACAGCTCCTCGCCAGCCTTCCCACCTTCAAACAGCAGTGCCCATATTGCCGTGATTCTCACTTTCTTTCCGTTCCCCTTCCCTACTCTTGCCACAGCTGCTGGCAGCAAAACGGTGCAGCAGCTTGTGAGGGGGTCTCGGGAGTGAAATTACAGCAGCCTTACCCAGGGCCTGTGGACCACCAGCTTGTTCACCCCCTAAGCGATGGCATCCTGGCTGGGCCTGTTTCCTCTGAGCATGTGAAAACACATGTGTGTATATATATAACTGGAATTACATCTACTAGAAAGATCAGAGGGCAGTGGCAGACGGCATCAGAGCCTTTTCAGTAGATACAGTTTCATTAGTTATGTCTTAAACTATCTTAAAATGGATTGTGCTGAGAGCTAGCATTCCCCTCAAGGACACAGAACAACAAATATCCGTTGTGCCTGTTTTTTCAGTATTTTGAGGAATTATATGCAGATGACCCTAAGAAGTATCAATCATATCGGATTTCACTTTACAAACGGATGATTGTATGTAAACTCAGAGTGCTTTTCTGTTGCCTTCCTTGCAACTTCTAGCTCTCTGTACTTGAAGCGCTGCCTGCTCCTCCCCAGAAAGTCTCTTCAAAAACTTTCACCAAACCTGTTTCTCCCGACAGCTATCTCTCAGCCAGTGGTGTCACTTCTACCAGTGTCCTGCGTCCATTGTCATGTTTGGTTTGTTATTAACTTTAGGCTTGCAGTGTGATGGAAGTCAAAAGTCAAAGCCCCTACCTAAGTTCAACTATCCTTAAAACTTTCCGTGGAACGTTTTGTGCATTCACCAAATTTATTTTGCCTCTTCCTCCTTTAAAAGAAAACCTCCCGCTGGAATAGCAGTACATTTTACGAGCATTTAATTGTTTTACCCACGTGGAAAAGACTCCCCAGTGAGCTTGCTATCCATCACGCTGTAAAGGATTTTACTGCACTGTATATTTTAACGTTTGGCTTTTATTGTAGCTGCATTTCCCATGCCTGCCAGTTTTAGCCAGGTGGTGGCTCCACCAATGAGCTTTTCTGGAGCTTTTATGTGAAACTAACAGCACTGTTTCTGTGATTTTTGTCTGCTTTCCTTCTGTGCATTTTAAGACCTATTTTGATCTTTCTGTTATATTTCTCATTTTGATGCTTAGGATTTGATGGAACAACTTGAAAAACAAGATAAGACTGTCCGGAAACTGAAAAAACAACTGAAAGTATTTGCCAAAAAAATTGGTGAACTAGAAGGTATTTAAAACATGTTTTATGACAATTGCTGAATCTTGGTTTTGTATTGCTATACTAGTCACCAATTGGTTTGCATGCGAATATTGGAGATGATAACAAAAATTACTTTCAGTAAACCTAGAATCTGTGGAGTGGATGCTTCCATTGCAAGGTGGGGAAAAATGTTCTTTTCACTGTAGTAAAAATTTACAGAGTGAGAGAATCCATTCAACAAACATCAGTGACTATCCTCTTTATGTCAGGCTCTGTGCTAGGTACTATAGCATAGAGGTTAAGAGCATGGGTTCTGGAGCCAAGCCTCTTGGGTTCAAATCCTGGCCTTCTACTATTAGTGATCTGATAACTGGGCAAGTTACTGAACCTCTCAGTGCCTCAGTTTTCCCACCTGCTAAATGGGAATGATAATGGTGTACCTGACATGGTTTGTAAAGATTAAATAAGTTAATATGTGTATTGTATTACTGTAGTTCCTGACATATAGTAAATGCTATATAACTATATACAGCTTTGTTGTTATTACTGTTATTTGTAGTATTAGGGATACTAAGATGAGTAAGAAAAAGTCTGTATCCTCAAAGAACTTACCATCTAATGCAGATAAAAAGAGAAGTAAATAAGAAAAGCTGAATTATGATTATAAGGAAATAAGATTTTTAAAAACATCTCATGATTTATATATGATGACAATGGAAAATACCTTAAGAATTAATCAAATATCAATTGTTGTTGTTATTATATACAAATGAATCTGATCTTGTGAATTAGTGTCTTTGTTCCTTCAGTAGGTATTTATCTAGGTGCCAGGAATATGGCAACATATATAATTTTAGCAGAAATTACATAGCTAAATGGAGAGTGTTTCAAAATTTGATCTGCTTTGTGCTATATTTTAATCCAGAAGTAGGTGTTCCATCTTGGTTTTCATGGAGTCAAGGAATTTAGACCTTAAAGAATTCTAGAAATGAGCTAATCATTTTAGAGGAGAAAAAAAAATCTTGAGGCCCAGAAACCATAAGTGGCTTCCAAGGTCTCAGCCAGTTAGTGGCCAGACTAGGACTAGAACCCAAGCCTTCTGAGGACCACTGACTTCACTCCTTTGTGTCATATTTTCCAATAGAATCTCTCTATTTATAGGAATTTATTTGACTGTCTCAAGCCTGAGATCAAGATCTTCCTGGTACCAAAGTGAGGAAAAATGAATTTAAAAAAACTTCTAGTGTCTTTTTCTTTTCCAGGACAAAAAGATTCAGGAATGCTTTTCCTCAAGCATAAAGAATCTATGAATAGAATAGGGATTGCTTCAGGTCTTTCTAGAAGGATGTCAGTATCAGATGGAGCATTGGACTGAACAATCTGCCAAGGTCTCTTGAGTCTTTGAAAACTGGGATGGTGTCCTGGCTTCTCTCTTTCAGACTTTATGTTTTCCTGATGCTATACAAGGGTTGACCTTTTATTTTAATTAGTAGATGATTTCCTAAATGAATCAAGGTTATATTGAACTGACATCTATATATTTTTAAATTTTTTATTTACTGATTGATTTTAGAGAGGAAGGGAGAGAGGGAAAAAAACACATTGATTTGTTATTTTACTTATTTATGCATTCATTGGCTGATTCTTATATGTGCCCTGGCTGGGGATCAAACTCACAATCTTGGTATATCTGGACAACACTCTAACCAACTGAGCTATCCTGCCAGGACTGACATCTATACTTTATCTGTGAGCTTTTGTAAAAAACTCAAATCTCTGGGAGAATGCAAAGGCAGAGAGAAAAATTTTAATTAAAGTATGGCAAATTTTGTCTTTGACGTTTCTATACAGAACTAAAAATATCTTGGTTAGAGATTTTGCAAAAGGAAAGTGAAGCTTTCTTTTAAAACGTGAAATCTCTTAGTAAAAATATTCACCATATTTCATAAATTCTGAGGTGCATAATTTTTGACATTTTAACATCTCTGTAATCAAGATGTGTCTTGCGAATGTTGATGGGTTAAAGCTTAATTGGCAGTGTTTTCCTTCTTTAGTGTTATATAAAATAATGGTACTTCAAAATCAATGGCACTATAGGTATGATGGAATCAGTAGGTTCAAATATGTACATTTATTGATAAACTTCATGTGCTGAATCTATTTCCTCCCAGTTTCTCCCCTTAGGATTGTTTCTGTGGCTCAAAGCTACTAATAACCTAGATAGCAGGGATTTTATTGTTTTATATTTTACATGCAGCATGTATTGCGAGCTGTGAAGACCACTTTGTGTGGATTTCAAGATCCTGGTGCTGTTGTGTTTAAACCAACTCCAGAAGTAATTTATGTAAAACTGAATAGTTTGAATCTTCTATCTCTGTGTGAAGGCACACATTTTAGTTATTCCTTGGCTTCCACTGCACCATGCACATGAAGCACTAGGTCCCATGGCCCTGATTTGTCCCATCACAGTGTGATCACTCCTTAGATAGCATTGTGCTGATGGACGGTGGCGATTTTCAGCCCTGATAGTCCTAACAGTCCTATGGTGGACAAGGTGTCACCAGGCTGTCTGCCTCATAAGCAAGAGCTCTGATGGGAATTGGTGTTCTCCCTGATAACCTCTTCCTGTGGAACTGGCTTCCCAGAGCTAACACAGGACTTGCCCCGAGTGACAGGAGAAGCACGACTGACACCTTGTGGAGTCAGCAGCATTAGCTTTTCTGATGCTTCTGATCTGCATTCTGTTTGACAAGTCTCTGAGCTCAAAGTTAATCTGCACCTAAACAGATTTCTTAACTGCCCCCTTCCTATAGGTAAAACTACCTGCTTACTAGCATGTGTCTGCACAAGCACCACTGGAACTCTAACTCATGTGTTCCCTACCTTCTCGTGTATTTCCCATTCAATTCTCGATTTTGAGATGATATGGATGATACTTTTTTAAATCCTTAGCATGATTCTTCTCCAGCAGCTGCTATTGACAGTAGTGACCACTTTAACCTCTGAATGGGCTGTTAACAGCCAGTGGTTGTGCTTTAATGGTTGAAACTTCATGGTAGGACTGTTAGTATTTTACGAGAAACAAACAAAAAACTGAATCATATCTAGGAAATCACATTAATAGAGGTGGTTTTATCTGCTCATGATTTCTTTGGAAATGAGGGACAGCGGGAGAAAGTTAGGTCTTTGCCTTGGGAAGCCTCTGAACAATAATATGTTTTGCCCTGCCGGGCAGCTAAGTTACAACATCTGCCTGATATGCCCAGGTTGCGGGTTCGATCCCCAGTTGGGACACATACAAGAATCAACCAATGAATGCATCAATAAGTGGAACAGTAAATCCTTGCTTCTCTCGCTCTCCCTTCCTCTCTCTCTAAAACCAATAAATTTAAAATAATTTAAAAAAAGAAAAATAACACATTTCACAACTACTGTGAAGAAACACTATCCTACCAGCTTCTCAATTGCAATGATACACTTAAATGTTCTTTGTCTTTAATAACTACATGTATGGAGCTAAAGGTGAGGGGGAATCTTCTATACTCCTTCCACTTTGTGGAATATTATATTTTTCCTTCTGTGATTTAAAGTCTAAATATCTTTAACCACTTATGATTGATAACGATTCATTAACCAAGAAGTTAGACCACTTACTTTGGGGACATTTAATCTTATTACAGAGTAAATTATTCCCCCCAAAAAAACTTTTGAATCAAGTCAGGTTCTCAGACGTTGGTAGTAGCCAAGCACTGGTGGCTGTCAGTGACATTACCATATAATTTTGCCATCTACAACCAGTTTTAGCAGAAAAAGTGTTTAAAGAGGGGACAATTAAGTGGCAAATGTGGCACGTTTCTGTTGTTATAGAATTCATCATTTAAAATTATAGGAACATGGAAATTTCTCATCTTTTCTACCTGGAAAACATTCTCTTCTCCTCTTTGTTTCTCACTAAGTGGGCCAGATGGAGAACATATCTCCAGGACAGATCATTGACGAGCCCATCCGTCCAGTCAACATTCCCAGGAAAGAGAAGGATTTCCAAGGAATGCTGGAATACAAGAAGGAGGACGAGCAGAAACTTGTTAAGAACCTGATTCTGGGCAAGTATTTTCTTTTCTTTTGGCTTAAACAACAGATACTTATTTCCCCCAGTTCTGGAGGCTAGGAAGCCCAATTACTTTGGTTCCTGGTGAGACCGCTCTTGCTGGCTTGCCAACAGCCATCTTTTGGCCATGTGGTCACATAAAAAAGAGAGTAAAAGGAGGGAGAAGGGGGGAGAGAGGGAGGGAGGGAAGGAGGGATGGAGTGAGGGGACAAGTATTTTCTGCATGAGATAAAGGTCTTACTGTTACACGTGTCAGTAGTGGGAAAGACTAGTCACTGGTTTTTTAAATGTTCAGCACCAGTTTCTGCAATCGTCATTACATACTGTGCGTTGCAGCACTGTGGAAGCGTCCTGACCAGCTGGTCGTGCATTACCAGTCGAACTGCGGGGACACTTGCCCAGGAGGCAAGCCCACCCATAAGAATCCCTCGAGGCCAGGCCTTCTCAGCTCCAGCTGTGCACATTCGACTACCCGGGAAGCTTTTGAAAAGTATTATTGTATGGTCCCCACCACAGACTGATTACATCAAAATCCAGAGGGAAGAGCCTGGCCGTGTCTAATTTTCTTTTTAAATCTCTCAAGGGGTTCTGTAGTATAGCCACAGTTGAACACCACTGCTCTAGGCCATTTAAGTTCCTGAATTTCTGTTTTCCATACTTTCCTAGAAGGTGTATGACTAAATATATCAATAACAACAATTCAGTAATAGGGAAAAATGCACAAAAGAATTAAGGAAAATATTCCAGCAATGGAAGGAACGGGCCAGACAAATGAAATGGGTGTGGAAGAAGCATTTCAGAGCCGCCTGAGGCCTTGAAGATTGGGTGTGAGCCCACTGGCTCTGCAGGAATACTTTTTAGAGGAGGGTGGGAAATCATGAGGGAGTGTGCACAGCCTGAAAGTTGTGAACTAAACAAGCTGAAAACTTCTCAGCCTTTGCATAGCATCCCTCCCCCAGGTGCCAGGGTGACAGCAGTGTGATTGGCAGTTACACCTGATTTAATGTTCCTAAGGTTCCTGGCGTTAAACTTGGTGCTGTATATAGGTGCAGAGGTGCTGACGTTTCAACTTGATCCTCATTTAGCAAAAATGTTAAGGAGACACTGGTTTTTAAACATAGAGTTTAAGCAGAGATTCATCAGTTTAATAAACATTTAGTATGCTCTTACTAATGCCAAGCATTTTCTAGGTGCTGGGTAAAAAACAAAGTAAAGTCCCGATTCTCCTAGAACTTACATTCCAGTAGGAGAGAAAAAGAGAGGAAAAAGCCCTGGCTGGGTAGCTCAGTTGGTTAGTGTCATCCCAATACGCCAAGGTTGTGGGTTCCATCAGTGAATGCGTAAATAAATGGAACTACAAGTCGATGCCTCTCTGTCTCTCTCTTCTATCTTCCTTCCTTTCTCTCTCTAAAATCAATAATTTAAAACGAAAATAGAGGAAAAAATAAATGTGTAATGGGGTAAAAGGCTGAAGAGTGAAGGCAGGTGTACTAGTTTATATAAAGTTGTTAGGAAAGGCCTTTTTGATAAGGTGATCTTTAGACAGAGACCAAGAAAGTAAGGAAGCAATTCATGCTGATGATATGTGAGGAAAGAACATCCCTGGCGGAAAATAGTTGGTACATAGGCCCTGGGGTAGGAGCATGCCCGGCATCTTCACCCAGCAGCAAGGAGACCTGTTTTCCTGGAGCACAGCAACCTGGGGATGGGGGATGGGGAACAGAGCCATGGCAAGGATTTTATTTTGTAAATGAATGAGGTGAGAAGCTACTTGGAAGATTTTCATAATGTTAGTGACATGATCTGACTGGCATTGTCTTATAGAATAACTCTGGTTGGTGTGTGGAAATGTCCTACTGGGGAGCAAGGGATGGGTCAGCAGCCAGTGTGGAAGCTCTCACCACAATCTGGGAGAAGACTAGGGGGACCTAAACCAGAGCAGCTAATAGTTGGATCCTGAATGTGTTTTGTAGGTAAAGCTAATAGGATTTGTTGATGGATTAGATCTGTGGTGTAAGAAAAAGAATGGCATCAAAGGTGATGGCAGGTTTATAACCCGAAAAACTAGAAGGCCTTGAACTGCCATTTGCTGAGATGGGGACAACTCTTGGAGAGCGGATACCACAGGAATTGAGTTTGGTTTGGATGGGCTCAGTTTGACGTGTCTGAATTGAGATGTGAAGAAGACAATTGATACAGGATACAGCAATTCAAGGGAAAAGTCGGGGCAAGAGATAGAGATTTGGGAGTTGTTATTGCATAGACAATTAAAATTCACGTGTTCCCACCTTCAAGAACTCCTCTTACTGAGCTATTAAAATGTGTTTTTTTATGCGACCTATTTATCCTGAATGATTGAACTCACACATGAGAACTATGCTTTTATTGTCTCTCAAAGCACTTCTCATGAAGACTTTCAGTGTTATGTAAGATTATTTTTTCTCTTTTCTTTTTCCAGAACTGAAGCCACGTGGGGTAGCAGTCAATTTGATTCCAGGGCTGCCAGCATATATCCTGTTTATGTGTGTTCGACATGCTGACTACCTGAATGATGATCAGAAAGTAAGGTCGCTGCTAACATCGACAATTAACAGCATCAAAAAAGTATTAAAGGTCAGTTTATGTTCAATGACATTCTCATAATGAATATTAATGACAGAATCTGCACAGAGGGACTTTTCCTTCCTCAGACTTGAGCTACATTCCAGTTATGAACACTTTCCAGACTTAACTGCTTCCTTCCACTGTAGGAAACATTCTTTCTTACAAATTCTCTACATGCCTTCTTTCAAAACAGGGCTCAGGATGATTAGTAATCAAAACTAACTTGATATAATTGCATTTAATTGTGGAATAAATTGTTTCTTCATAGACAGAAATAGTCCACTTTAGGGTCTTAATTAGAAGTAAATTTAAAATATTTAATGGAGTCCCTTATATATAGGGAATATGATGCTGTAGTTAAAATAGGTATTAAATTCAATAATACGTGGCTCATTCATGTAAAAAGATATTTGATGAAATATTAAGAAGTTTCTTTGAACTTTTCTTCCCATTTTTCTCCAATTCACCCATAATTTTCCATATAACCTTGTGCCTGATTCTATGTGAGAAGCAATACACAGATACTAATCAGAAAGGAAAGACTTGGAAAAGGCAGCAAAATTATATACTAGAGCAGAAAGTCCTACATAAGAACTCAGCAATCACTGAGTCATGTTGCATAATCCTCCTCCTGACTCTAGAAAAAGAGTGAAAATTATTCTTAGTTTTAACTCGGGTGAGTCTGTGAGGAGCTAAGAGAATGTGCTCTGGGTATTTTGCTTTTTGATTATTTGACTTAAAGAGACTTTTAGGATGGAGATAAACAATCTAAGATATCCTTCATGAAATACATATATATTTTTGTGGTAAACTGCACATAAGAAAAAAGTATACCATTTAACCATTTTTTTAAATTCTCACCCGAGGATATGTCTTTTTTGTTGTTTGTTTATTTTGATTGATTTGAGAAAAAAAGAGAAACATGAAAGTGAGAGAGAAACAGCAGTCCGTTGCCTCCCACACATGTCCCGACCAGGAATCAAACCTGCAACCCAAGTACATGCCCTTGACCGGGAATTGAACCTGTGACCCTTCTGTGTGCAAGCCAATGCTCTAACCACTGGGAAACACTGGCCACAGCTCTGTTTTGATTTAGCAATGAGTTTTTTGGACATGTGCCCCAGTCCTGATGAAGAGCCAGACAGCTTCCCCTGTCTCCTGCTCTGCACTGGACTTCCTTTATCCCATTTCTGATTCACTGCTCAGAAATTATATCTTATCACCCTGGCCAGTGTGGCTCAGTTGATTGGGTATTGTCTCGTACACTGAAAGGTTGCTGGTTTGATTCCCAGTCAGGGCACATGCCCAGGTTGCAGGCTTGTTCCCTGGTAGGGGTTATGCAGGAGGCAGCCAATTGATGTTCTGCTCTCACATCAATGTTTCTCTCTCTCTCCCCACCTTCCTCTCTCTCTAAAAAAATCAATTAAAAATCTTTAAAAAATATATTGTATCTTTCACTGATAAGATTTTTAACCTAATCTGGGTTTCAGTGTTTCATAATTTTTGTGATTCTCTTTTGTGCTTAAAGAAATGGGCCTTCTGGAATCTGTTCAGTTATTTTCAGGTTATTTCCCAAAGGAAAAAGTAAATTTAGGCTTATTCTCTCTTTCAGAAACGAGGTGATGATTTTGAAACTGTTTCCTTCTGGCTCTCTAACACCTGCCGATTTTTGCACTGTTTGAAGCAGTACAGTGGAGAAGAGGTGAGAAAACCCTGATTATAAAACCAGCATACTATATACTTCCTCTGATCTTTTTAAAGAACATGTTTAGCCATTGGTTAATTTAGAAACCTGAGTTCAGAGGTGGCTTGGAAATTCATAGCTTTGTTTTGTGTTTATTATTTATGGGAATAACATGGTTTCTTCCCTTTGAGAGTTTGTATTATGAGAAAACACAGTAGAAATAAAGTGAGCATTGGCCAATGAATAGATACAACAATGAAACTTTTTATCAGTACGTGGAAGTGGGCTATTGAAGAACTCATTGTAAAAATTAATCACTTTCAGCTTACTGTAATGCATTAAAGGTGATAAGACATCTCTTTAAATTTGTGCAAAAGTCTGTTTTGCTTTTGTTTGTAGTGATATTTTCATCAGTTGTTTCACAGACTTCATTTTTTCAAAACTGTAATATGTTAATAATTACTATTTATTAAGTTAGTATGCATCAGACAGCACTTACTATGCACTGTGTTATTTAATTCTTACAACATTTCTTTGAGGTAGGGATTATAACCCAGAGGAAACTAAAGCTCAGTGAAGTCCATTAGTTTGCCCAAGTCCTCTCAGCCATGAAGGGCAGGGCTGGAATTCTGGGTCTGCCCGCCTCCGAGAGCCTGTGCCCCTAACCACTACCCTGTGCACCTCCCTGTTCTTTGCCTGGGGGGTAGAAGAGAAGCTGAGCAGTAGCACTTTCTGAGCATCCAGACAGAGTTTAGGTGCAGAGGATCGTCCTGGCAAATTACAGGAAATACAAATATGAGTAAGATGTGGTCCCTGAGAAGATGGGACTGATAGACCCGAGTTCCCCAGAGGGGCCATTCACTGTCCTGTCATTCCCACTTCTGGACTGTGTTGTTAAGGACTGTGGGCAGAACCCGTCCAGTAGGCTGTTGCCTTTGTCAGGAAATAGCTGACAAAAGCACCTTCCTGTACAGTTGGCTTTCCATTTTAGCAAATACCACCAAAAGATGAAAATCATGTATGGATACCATGAAAGGGAAATGTTTTATTTATCCACCATTCTCTGTAGAAATCGATCTATTTTGAGATTAGGTACCCTTTGCGTACAGTGTTTATAAATAGGACTATATTTAATGAACTGAAGTTTAAAGAGGTTAGTACTTTAGGTAGTTTAGTGTTTGGCAGTAAACCTCCTATTTCATAAGTGAAACCCATTAATTTTTTATATGGGATATGTTTTTATTGATTTGAGAGAGAGAGAGAGAAACATCGATTGGTTGCCTCCTGTATGCACCCTGACCCGGGATTGAACCCAAAACCTGGGTATGTACCCTGACTGGGAATTGAACCCATGACCTCTCAGTGCCCAGGACAACACTCCAACCAACCTAGCCTCACCAGCCAGGGCAATTATTTTAAAAATTAAGTTCTCCCACCTTATTTTATTGATATTGCTATTGGAAAGGCTTAAATGCTAGGTTGTCAAGTTTAGATATTATTCAAAAGCTAGTAAGAAGTGGAATTTGTAAGATGGAAGCAAATACACACAGCATTGAAAATTATTATCCTGGCATTTATGTGTGGGATGGATGGAAACTCTGAAGAGAAAAAGAGCAGGAAGATGCTGATCAAACGAGTTAGACAGCAGACATTTCATTCAAGCGCATCACTAACTCTGCATCATGGCTCCAGGGCTTCATGAAGCACAACACCTCTCGCCAGAATGAACACTGCCTCACCAACTTTGACCTGGCCGAGTACCGGCAGGTGCTGAGTGACCTGGCCATCCAGATCTACCAGCAGCTCGTGCGGGTGTTAGAGAACATCCTTCAGCCCATGATCGGTAAGACCAGTGCGTCCTGACAGCCAGGTCTGTCCACCTCTTCTACCTACCAGTAGGTGACCATGAGTGGCACGTGTCTCAGGGCATGTATCACATGGAGAACATAAAATAGGGAGGCTTAGTGCTGAAATTAGCTGAGGAATCCCAGAACATGGGATGATAGCCATGACTAATGGATGCATCAGAATCCCTCGTCCACACGATTAGAGCAGCAGTGTCTAGGGCCCCGCCCAGTGTGGGACACTGCTCTCAAGATTGGGTCATGCTCTGTGCCCAGCAGCAGACCTCATTGCTTGTCCAGTTTTCTTTTTTTTTTTTTTTAAACACATCTTTATTGATTTCAGAGAGAGGAAAGGAGGGGGAGAGAGAAAAATAGAAACATCAATGATGATAGAGTCATTGATCTGCTGCCTAGCCCGCAACCCTGGCATGTACCCTGACCAGGAATCGAACCCCGATATCCTGGATCCTAGGTCGATGCTCAGCCGCTGAGCCACGCCCAGCCAGGCACTTGTCCAGTTTTCAAAAACTTCAAACTTTGGTCTGGGAAACTACTGCCCTACTCCATCTAAAACTAAGGAGGCTGGGGAGGGTGCCATGGCAATAGAACAGGGCTCAGACACCCCAGGCTAAGTTGTATATCTCATGCCCCCTCTGGAATTGTTAAAGGCAATTTGGTTTAATGCAGCAGTTTCTTATTTGATGAGCCACTATGTGTGTGGGTGTGTGTGGGGGTTCTATTTCTATATATGTGTATTTAGATAATTGTGGATTCCATGTAGCTCTCTTTGTACGTGTGCACTCATCCTGGATGTGTGTTTATGTATTATGCCACATTTTGGGATGTGTAGCATGTTTGAAGTAGAAGATAGGAGGCATGTACAAATTACAGGCTGCTATTTTTAATGTATTGAATTAAAAAAGTGTATAAAACTTTTTTTAACTTACCAAACTTTTATCCTTAGGCAAATTATCAGCAGCCTCTGAAGACTGCTCCCAGCTGCCCTATCTTGCCCCACCCATGTATTTTCCTCATTCCCACAACTTCTTCATTTCCCTTTGGTGGGCTCATAGTGTTCCATTTCTATCCTAAGCCCACAATCAAACAACTAGAAACATAAAAGGCTGAGGAAACCGTGTGACTTGGCAGTGATTTCTTCAGTCATCCTCTGAAAGGTCATGAATGTAAAGCAGTGTAGGTCAGCTAAAATGCAGGAGGTGGCAGATGTAAAGGTCAGCTCGGCCAACTTTTTTCTGTTTTTCCTGTTTTTATTGGCTAAACAATAAGTTTACCTCTAAGGTGTCCCACTTAAACCCACCCCCCACGATTTAACAACAGTGTTGACTGTGTATAAGGTTCTGTGGAAGCTGCGTTTTAGCAATCGGAGAAATAAAAGTGAATCAGTCTTGACCTTGCTCTCAGGACGCTCCCCACCCAGGGGTGGGCATCCCAAAACCATCCAGAGGACACTAAGCCAAACGCTATGAGAGCACAAGAGAGGGAGCAGCAATGCCAGATGAGAAGGCTGAGTCCTGGGAGACCAAGGCTAACCCAGTTCCCCTGCCATCGTGGGGAGCTCAGGTCAAGGAAGGGCCAGCTCTCCAGCCTTGCACAACTGCCCCTTCCAAGACCTCTGTCCAGGTTCCTGCCTTTCTGGCTGTTTGATTTGTTTGCCTCGGGTTCACGCAGCGCTGGAGAACACTCATCTTGCCCCTGACTGCTGCATCCCTCTCAGAACCCTCCCAAGGTGCCACACACTGGTGCTAGTACAGGCTGTGCTTCATAGTTTAGAAAAGACACCATTAAGATTTCTTAATTTCTTGGTTAATTTTTGCATTTAATATTCCTTTACTAAAGTTGAAATCCAGAAGCCTTTTTTGCGAAGTTCTTTTTCCCTCTGATGCTCAGATCATTTCCTAAACTGAATATGTGAGCGTGTGTGAGCCCGTGCGCGCAAACAAAATGGTTCCCTTCCAGACCTTCTCCTCTAACGTGAAGTATTCCTGCAGTCTCAGGCATGCTGGAACATGAGACCATTCAGGGCGTGTCTGGGGTGAAGCCCACGGGGCTGAGGAAGCGGACCTCTAGCATTGCCGACGAGGGCACCTACACACTGGACTCCATCCTCCGGCAGCTCGGCTCCTTCCACTCAGTCATGTGTCAGCACGGAATGGACCCTGAGCTGATCAAGCAGGTGGCTAAGCAGATGTTCTACATCGTGGGGGCCGTCACGCTGAACAACCTCCTCCTGCGGAAGGACATGTGCTCCTGGAGCAAAGGCATGCAGATCAGGTGAGCAAACTCCGACACGCACTGCCTCTTCTCATCCCCGACTGCTGCCTGCTAGCGTGCCGAGACGAGAGCCAGTGGCTTGCTCGAGTCAGTGCACCTGATGTCTGGGGCCACCAGCCAAGCAGCAAGGGGACAGCGGGCATGGGGCCGCTTCCTCCAGCCTGGACCTCCCCACGCTCAGTCATCATTGCTCCTGGCTCCAGCAGGTTCCACTCACTGCTTGTTAGGACTCTGCTCCCCTGTGAAGCTAGCTCGTTGGAGGGATTGGAGAGATGATGAAAAATACATGAAGATGAGATAGCTGCCTCCTCTTCTTTTGTATGTTTTAATTGTACAATAACAAAATACCAAATGATAATGATTTATAATGTTTGATTGCTCTTAGAAATTTATTTTAACAAAATACCTTTCTGTACCCATGGCAACAAGAACATGCCTAACAGGTCTCTCTCACTAACACTTGAAATGTGCCCCTTGATGTCTTAGGAAGAGCTGCACTCAATTTGATGCCACTATTCCTCAGCATAACCTCATTATCATAATAGAATTGATTTAGTTTGCAAGTAATTTATTTTAGAACAGCTAGAGTATTTACCAAGAAGGGGGTAAAGGGAGATTTCTTCTACAATAGTCTAGTTTCTCAGTCTCAGGAAATGTTGGCATTCCTTTCAGATTTTCCATTCTGACCCATATCCACTGTAGTTAACATTAAGAAGATGACTCCTTACACCAGGTAGCAGACTTTGTTTCTCCATAAGCTTTGTTTATACATTTGAAGCACCTGTCATAAGGTAATTCCCCCTGTTTGCCTGATTATTAAGTTCTGGTTGTGTGTCCATGTACCTCATTTTAGTTTAAGAACCTCTGTTACTTGGTTGGCCACCTCTTGATACCTCAGCATCTGCGTCATTTCTTGGGGTCATTGTCTCTTCCAGTGTCCCCCACTTGCCTTTCTCTCCTTCCATCCCTGGGCTTCCTCAGGCACTGTCCCCATCACCCAGGCTCTTCCCTGAAGAGGACTGGAGCACAAAGTCTGTGTGAGGGGGGTTGTTACTCAGTTGGACTTAAGAGAGAGGACTTGAAGGATTATCAGTTCTCACCTCTGAAGCTATAAGAGAAGCTACAGCTGTTTTTAATAAGGACGTGGCCATAGAATGTGTCCTATTTTATCTTCTAGCAAGTCTTATTTCATAGCCTTCGCTATAATGGCTAGTTTTCTATCTTGCATTAAAGATAATTATATTCTGTAGTCTTTTACTCTTACATAATTATGATTATAAACCTCATGACTTTTTATAATGATAATTTTTAAGTACAGCTGATAAGATTTAAGAAAAGTGAACAAGAATACTGCCTGTCATTTTAACTGAAATTACTGACAAAGCCACACACAGGAAATTAAGACATTTATGACACTTATGACAGCATTCGGTAAATTTGCATTCTCCCTCCTCCTCCCCCCCGGGGCACAGGTACAATGTCAGTCAGCTGGAAGAATGGCTGCGTGACAAGAATCTGATGAACAGCGGGGCTAAAGAAACCCTGGAACCTCTCATTCAGGCTGCTCAGCTTTTGCAAGTGAAAAAGAAAACAGATGATGATGCAGAAGCCATTTGTTCCATGTGCAATGCTTTAACTACTGCCCAGGTAGAGCGATAACTTAACATTCAAGGGTGATCGTTGGGCAAGTAAGGAAGTCCTCCAGCTATTGCTCCTCTCTCAGCTGACTTCCTCTGCGTCAGAGAAGTTATGTATCTGGCAGATCTTGAAGAAGGGTTTTACCAGGAAGTAGCACATTTCAGGGCTAGTCAGTCACCTACCTAGGCATTCAGTGAGTGTTTGCTGTCTGAGTGTTCTGCATAATATTCCAGGCACGGAGACACAACCACGAACAAAACCAAGTCCCCCGCTCTGAGGAGTTGTACACTCTGTGCCTTGTGTGTAGCTCGGGGCCATTGTCCTCAGAGTGCCTCCTTCTCTCTTCTCATGCCTTAAATTCAGTACATGCTCTATGGAGCTTGTATCCCCCAAATTAATTTCCGTATTATTTTATAATTGAGTGATTCTTTAGACTTCTCTATTTTAAGACAGATAATTCTTGTTTCTTCAATAATAATTGAGTTCCTATCTCAAGGGACCATACTTGTTGCTGGGGGAGATACTTCAATAAATAAGGAATCCCTGTTTAAAAGGAACTTCCAGTTTCGTAGGGAAGACAGATGCACCCAGCTAACTCTACTGTAAGAGATTCTAGCAAGTTCAGTGGTGAGAAGTCTAAAGGAAGTGCTGAGGGGCCATAACTGACTGTGCTCAGCGGAGGCCCCATCAAGCAGGGCACTGAATTTAAGGGGTGAGAAGAGGAGAAGGGGGGACATTAGGACAATGGCAACAGCTGAGGGAAGGCTAGGCATAAACAGGCCCATTTTTCATTTGCCCAGTTATTTCTGTGCTCACTCTTGGACTTTCTTAATGTTCATTCACATCTCATAACAGAAACCTTCTGTAGGCTATACATAGAGTATGTATAGAAAGCAGCTAGATGGACAGTAAGACACTGTCAAAAACTGCCACTCCAGGAGACTGGGAGGATGGGAGTGGGGGCACTTTTACTTTGCATGTTGTGTTCTTTTGCACAGTTTGAATATTTTTCCAAATTTACATTGCTGCTTACAATGTACAAAGATTAATACATTTTTATTATAAAAATTCAAATAGTAAAGGTTCATGTGCCCTCAGGCCATTGCCCTCTCTCCTCCTGTCCCACCAACCCTGGAGGGGTTGAAACTAGGCACAGATCCTCTCAGTTTTCCAGATTACGAGCCCCCATGTGTGTTTAATGATACGCTGAAAACTTTATCATTTTATTTCTCACAGATTGTCAAAGTGCTGAATTTGTATACGCCAGTTAATGAGTTTGAAGAAAGAGTCTCTGTGTCATTTATTCGTACTATACAGGTAAGATCTCCCAGGCTCTTTTTTTCATTCACCAACACAGCATTTTGAATGGAAATTTTACAATCTGTTGAAGGATAATATTTTTTTATTATATTATTTTTTCTTATTTTTATGGTGCATTAAGGTTTTTTTTTATAACAGTGTATGGGGAAAATGAAGTGATTTTAAATGTAAACATTCTTCATTAGTTGAGGAGTTGGTAGGATTTTTGGCAGAAGACAATTTTCTTTATAGATTCAAAGAATTGACACCCTGCTTTTTTGTTTTTTAACCATCTCAGATGCGTTTACGAGACAGGAAGGACTCTCCTCAGCTGCTCATGGATGCTAAACACATCTTTCCTGTCACCTTCCCCTTTAACCCATCCTCCCTCGCACTGGAGACCATCCAGATCCCCGCCAGCCTGGGCCTTGGCTTCATCTCCCGGGTCTGAAGGTGATGTCAAGGTGAACGGCGATAACACGTTTCCTCCTGAAATAAGAGCCCGTTATTTCCAGGGAGCTACTAAAAACACATTTTTAACAACGATGTACTGATCATCTTCCAAACAAGAAGTTATTAACTGGAAATCTCTTAGGATACTCCCATCACCTTGGAAAGAAGTCACGCCCCTTTGTGCAGTGTCACCTTTAGCAACACTCACCCTTGATCATTAGGTACCCCACGTTTACATCAGGTGAATGACAGGAGGAGGGAAAAGTGTGTCTTCAGCTGCCAGCATTAATTTTAAATCCTTAGCACTGCATCTGAATGGCATGAAAAAACATTCCAAATGTGAGCTGTTGTTAGGAAGGTACCAGCAGAGAACCTCCCTGTGTAACCAGAAGAAAAATCGCTATTGAGTACATATCATATCAGTCTAGGAATCAATGTTGATGTTGTTGAACTGGATCGAAAAATAAACTGGCAGTATGTATAGTAGTTGGACAGGTAACTTCCCTTATGTGTCATTATGATGTAGAGATATTACGCGAATGCTGGTTTGCTGTATAGCATAGAAGTCCATCTGTACTGTAGTTTCCTGAGCATTTTAAACTGCTGCTACATACTGTGTTCTTTACAATGTAAGCGATATTCTTAGGCACTACAACAATAAGCTTCTCTTATCAACTCTGTTTACAGTTCAATCAGATCACAGTTTTAACTGGATTATGTGCAAATATCTATGGATGCCCCTGCACAAGTAGCAGACACTGGGAAGTCATATAGTAATATGACAAAACATTTGACATTTAGGGTAGGATTAGACAGAGTGGCAGTTGTTAATGTCATTATTTATTCAGGACGTGTTACAGTGATGTGCTCATTATTTCCCCTGGGTGGAGATCACAGCGGGGTACAGTGTTCTGTGAAGTGACTTATTTTTAGTTCCCAGATCTGATTCCTGCAGTGCGTATAGTCAACTGTGACAGGCTTTCTTTCTTCTTAATTTATTAAGAATTAATCTCAGTCACTATCTAGAGAGCATTGTCAGAATATTCATGATTCAGGTCTTGAAACCTTGATTATCTTATAAATTATGCAAAAGATGGTGTATAATGAATACTTATGGTTCCATTTTTTAGGCTTTGCAACTTCTGTAAATGTTCTCAGTACCACTAGATACTTAAAAGCACATCACGTTAGAAATACTTTGACATATATATGAAATAGAAGAAAATTGCTGAAATTTACAGAGGATTTGGTTCAATAAGACCCAGATTCTATGTTTTCATTCTGAAATTCTAATTAAACATACTCTGCATTTTTTCTTAGAAATCTTATACATAAATCTTTCAGGTTGTGCAAACGCAAATCCTTAGCTTTTATCAGAAACTCTGGTTCTGCATTGCAATCATAGATTTATATAATTTAACTCCCAGATGGTGTATAAAATGACATCTTATTAAAATATGTGCAATATTAATGGAAGTCAGTTTCAAATCACTGATAAAGATTTTTATTAAAAGATAAATACTGTCTGCTAACTTATTCAGGCCTCAAATTCCTCTTTTATAAATAAGAGGGTTAGACAACTGATTCTTCAGGTCCCTTCCACGTCTAATATTCTCTCCTCTCGGCACTCGGATCCTAGGGAAACAAGCTGCAGTTACTCAGTAAGTTGATCCCCTGATGGGGAGACCAGCGTTTGGTGCCTGTTAAGTCTGAGGGATTAGTAACGGTATCACAAGTCTGTGTAGCTATAACCTCTCTTCACTGTACGTGATTTATGTTCATACTTTTAGAAAGTTAGTTTCAGTGATTTTTATTGAATCACATACTGCTGTCTTCAATTTGGATACCTTTATTTGCAAAACCAACCCAAGACACTACTCATTCAATTAGATTCTCTCAGTTTTGCCTGGTTTGTCAGTATGGTTTTCAATGAACAATGAACTCATCACCATGTGGTTAGTACTGAATGTGTCATAGTCTAAGAGCTTAGATGGAACTTGGGTAGGAAGATGCTAAAAACAAAGTGCCACCATGGGGTAGGCTGTCCACCTTAGACCTGAACTCTCCCCAGGCCCTCCCCAGCTTAGTCCTGTGTGGCATGTCCCATTTCACCCTCAATCTTGTCTGGTCTTCAAGATGCGCCATAGCTCCCACTGCCCTTGCAGCCGTCTTTCTTACTCCCAGACAGCTCGTGTCCTGAAGCGTCTCTTGTCTGGGCCTTGGTCTCTCACCTGACTGCTGTCTTTCTGCTGGAAAGGGCTGCAGCCTGTTCCACTCCTTGTGCTCAGAGATGGCCACACAAGGCTCTGCTGTTTGAGGGCTCCAACTTCCTCCAAGGCCTCCCAGGACCCAGGTGGGGTCTGAATGAACTTCTCTTAGCAGCCTAAAGATCTTTAGTGATAGCGAGTGTACCTTGTGGCCAGGGAACCCAGCCTGGCAATGACTGTACTACTGGAGGACGCAACACTATTCTGCCTGGGTGTCCTTTGGCCACTCCGAGGACTGCCCACCCTCCCTACTGTCCATCCCCTTTCTCACACAGCCTCAGACACACACCTCCGGCAGCTTCCGCCCTCCCGCTTACCTGTTCACTCTCCTTCCCTCAAGCAGACTGTACCCCACGGCCGGGCCTGCTCGCCGGCTCTGACCGCGTTGAGGCAGTGGAAGGAGTCCATCTGCACTTGCCCCCTGGCCTGCCTGGTGGCTTAACCATGAGTCCAGTCTTTGCACAACAACTTCTCACTTCTTTGCAGTACATTCTTTAACGTCACTAATTTACTTTTTCATAATTCCTCTATGACAGACAATAGAAATTTAAAGAAAGATCTTGAAAGAGTAGCAGTTCATTGTCTTAATAGCCCCTTCTCTATTCTCTCCTCCCCACTCACATACAGATTCAGCTCACACCTTGGAATTCAAAGTTGAAAAATTAGAAGCAGTTTCTCTTCCTAGGTTAAGGCTTTGATCCACCTGAGAGTAACTATAAAGACGTGGGAAGATGAACAGGGCGTGAGATCCACAGATGTGGCTTCATGATGCCTTTGGAAGTTTTGAAAAATCCCCATGTACCTGACACTGCTTTTGTCAGGAGCAAAAGTACAAATGTGTATATTCCAAAGCCAACTGAGAGGAGAGTTGGGGATTAGTATGATTTGCTTTATGTCAGTGGATAATTGAGAGTTGGCTTTTTCTGGGTAATTATGTGTAGTATAGATCAAATCTTAACAGTGGGCAAAGGTATGAAAATACTTTATTAGAATTTCAGTACAGTGATTGTTGTGAGAAATGACTTTCCTGGTAACCCCAGGTAAAGGTGCACCTGCCACCATNATTCTCTCCTCCCCACTCACATACAGATTCAGCTCACACCTTGGAATTCAAAGTTGAAAAATTAGAAGCAGTTTCTCTTCCTAGGTTAAGGCTTTGATCCACCTGAGAGTAACTATAAAGACGTGGGAAGATGAACAGGGCGTGAGATCCACAGATGTGGCTTCATGATGCCGTTGGAAGTTTTGAAAAATCCCCACGTACCTGACACTGCTTTTGTCAGGAGCAAAAGTACAAATGTGTATATTCCAAAGCCAACTGAGAGGAGAGTTGGGGATTAGTATGATTTGCTTTATGTCAGTGGATAATTGAGAGTTGGCTTTTTCTGGGTAATTATGTGTAGTATAGATCAAATCTTAACAGTGGGCGAAGGTATGAAAATACTTTATTAGAATTTCAGTACAGTGATTGTTGTGAGAAATGACTTTCCTGGTAACCCCAGGTAAAGATGCACCTGCCACCATCCTGAGTCCTCACGCAACCAGTGTCTCTCTTTCTTTCCCCCTCTCTCCTTTCTCCTAAACACACATGGATTCACCAGTTCATAGCATTCCCCAGGAGGCAGAGTCAAGTATCCTCTGGGTAGCTTCAACTATTTAGAATAAAACAGCAAAAATTAGCGTTTGACCCTTAAACTCTCCTGTTGAAAGTCGTGCAGGACAGTAAGTACCTCGCATCTGGCTATGCTTTACTCTACCCGCTTTCTCTGTTACCTCACTATCCTCACAGCGGCACAGGAAGGTAGAAACGCAGCTGCAATCCTCTGCTGATGATTTGAGAGAGAGGTAAGGTCAGACTTGCCTGAGGTCCCGCGGCTCTCCCGCCCGGCCCCTCTCCCATACGCAGCAGTGGGTGGCAGCGTGGGCAGATGCAGCGCGGAGACTTTAACAAGTCCTGAGGTTACATCTGTTCCTCGAGGTACCTGTGGGGTACCCCGGGTGGACAAGAGGTGCTCTTTCTCCTTATCAGAGTGGGCACCTGGCGTATGGGAACTAAGCAGTGAGCAATCCCGAGTTCTTTGTGCTGATGAGATGGAGCAACTAGAGCCTAGAGCTGGTAGTTTTCCTTCTGTCAATTACCGGCTATAACCGGGTTTGACTTGGTAAGGAATCAGTGCTCCCTTGGAGGGTGCAGTACTCTGTTAGGTCACTCATTAGTAGCAGGCTGTCAGCCTGATGGAAAGCAGTGAACACCTCCCAAAAGTGAAGAGGAAGGTCACTCAACACCCCTCTGTTAGAGCCACCAGGTGAGCTGTGCAGCCTGTGGGGAGCCCCCAGCTGAGGCCAAGCCCCTGGGTGCTTCTGAGGGCTGTCCCCAGCTGGGCCCTGCACAAGTCAGGGCATGTTTGAACTTTACGGTGTGTGCATGCTGCCAGTGTTTACTTTACAGCTAGGAGGTGTGCTGTGTGCATGCGCATTAGAGAGGCCGTGTCTTGCCGTGGCCTCTGTTCGTGGATAAGTGCATTGTCATTTCTTCTCAGGCTGTGCTGTGAGGGCCGCCTTAACCCCTGCTCCCTTCCCTCCTGGAGCTGCCTTAAGTTCTCCAAAACTTTTCCTCTGTCAGGGGATATCTTGCCTGGAGAGAATATCAAGCCCTGTTTCTCAAGGTTTTGTGAGGGTTTTGGTTGGGTGTGGCCTCCAACCGCTAATTCCTTTCCCAGTCTGCATGCTCCTCCCCCACCTATTTTTCCTTTCTTATCTGTTATTTCCAAACAGGTATTAGAACTCTGAGGCAGCAACAATCTCAGAGCCAATGAAATGTGGGCTTAGAAAGTGTTCCTGAGTTTGGGGGCCTCTGTGTTACAAGTAAGCAAATGAACACATGGAAGAAATACAGAGATAAGTTAGAGATTCTCAGTAATATCTAAATGGCTTGTTTTCCACTGACTTTTTCTTAATAAAGGTAAAGAGTACTACTGTAAAACTTTTCATGGACATTCTTTAAAAATAATTTTTAAGAACCCAGTACTATAAAAGATTGAAAACAAGAAAGAGTGCTATAAATTCTAATCCATTGTATTACCCTAAATTAAATCAACCTGGAATTAGTGGGTTTTCAGTAGATCAGGAACTGAAAAGTACATGTAACATACCTGTGAAAATGCATTTTATACATTTTTTTATTTTATAATTTGGTCTAGCTAAAATGTTCATTAGCTTAACGGGTGTTAGTAGAGTCATAAATATCTGAAAATGACTTTTTTTAGTACTGTAATGTTGCCTGAAATATTTGAAAGAAAAATGTCTTTTGAGTTGAAACTGGAATGTATAATTCAATGCTTGGTAGGTAAGTATATTTTAATGCATTTTTCAGAGTCAGTAATTTCAAATATCTTATTGTTACCATATGTTGTAAAATTTAACTTACATTTCTGGCTCCCTAAATCATTTGAGCCATTTAATTTTTTCCAACAAATGCTGATTTTTTTTTCTCCTTTAAATGTGGATATGTGTGTTGTAATTTATGATTCCTAGTTATGTATTTTTGTGGAATCCTGGAGTAACATTGACTTTCTGTGTCTTGGAAATTTAAACTGCTCTAACAATGTTGCACAGAAATGAGCTCATGACATTTAACATACTGTATTTTAATTGTTAACTTTAATTGTTAATTTACTGTGAAATGGACATGCCTTTTAACTAAAATGAAATTGAACATTGCAATTTTCAAAATTGTTTTTCTTGTATCTGGAAAAGGAATTCTACTTTGTTCTACAGCGAAAAACATGATATAGCTAATCTTTGAAAAGTTTTTAGGTACAGTATTCATCCATTAAAAAGGAGGCAGGAGTACTGAGAAATGAAAGGAATTATCAACCAGCGCTAGTTTTAAAGGGAAACCATTCCAGCATATCTCACATGTAGTTTAAAAAATAAGTTAATAATTCACCTCATCAACAAAAGCCTTTGAAACATGGGTTTTCACTAGGTATTACCTAGTGCTAAGATGAAAACCAAAACAATATCAGATTGACATTTAAGCTCTGAACTTGTAGTTGTCTAATGTTGTACTTAGTAAATGTGCGTCACTGTGCTGTATTCTCCTAGCTATTATAGAAAATTGTTCAAATAAAGATATGGATATAAAGGACTTTTGTTAGTTCCTTATAAATAAACCCACAGCACATGGAACATGGAATATACACCAACATAGACCACATTCTGAGCTGTAAAACACACCTTTAAAATGGAAATAATAGAAATCCTGTGATGTATGCTCTCAGATGACAACAGAATTAAACTAGAAATCAATGACAGGAAAATGGTTGAAAAATCTCCAAATACTTGGAGATTAAACAACACATTTCTAAGTAACACATGAGTCGAAGAAGAAATCTCAAGAGAAGTTTAAAAATATTTTGAACTAAATGAATATGAAAATACAACTTATCAAAATTTGTGGAATGCAGTAAAAGCAGTACTTAGAGGGAAATTTATAGCATAGAATGCATGTATTAGGAAAAAAGAAAGCCCTAAAATTGAGGACAAGAAACCAAGAGAGAAAATCACTGAAACAAAAAACTCGTCTTTTGAAAAGATCAATAAAAAACTGATAAGTCTCTGCTCAGCCAGCATGGCTCAGCAGTTGAGCATCAACCTAGGATCCAAGAGATCACGTTTCAATTCCCAGTCAGGGCACATGCCCGGGTTGCAGGCTTGATCCCCAGTTGGGGGCATGCAAGAGGGAGCAGATCATCATTGATGTTTCTATATATCTCTTCCTTTCTCTGAAATCAATAAAGATATATTAAAAAAAAATTGATAAGCCTCTAGCCAGGCTAATTAAGAAAAAAAAAGAGATGACATACAGTAGGTAAGTGGTCAATTCCCTACCACTTAGGAGTAGGGAGAAATGAGGGTTAGGGAGTGATAACTAAAGAGCATTGGAGTTTCTTTTTGAGACGATGACAATCTTCTAAAATTGTGGTGATAGTTTAATATATCTGTGAATATATTAAAAACCTCTGAGTTATATACTTTAAATGGGTGAAGTTTATGGTATAAGAATTATAATGCAATAAATTTTTATTTTTAAGCAGACTTTTGACATCTTGGTATGGCAGACTGAGGAAGGAGCTCAACAAATTCCTCAAAACAGGCACAACACTAAACAACAGTATCAAAAACAATTTTAGAGCTCTATAAATTGATCAACAGCATACAACAAATTAATAGTGGTTATCCATAAGAAACGACTGAACTCTGAGTAAGAAAAGTGGGAGTTTGACATTGTTGCCTGAAACAATGAAACAGAAACATAGAAACAAATCCAAACAGGCAGCCAAAATGGGAAGACAAAACAAGCCCCAAATGAAAGAACAATAGAATTCTCCAGAAGAAGAGCTAAATGAAATGGAAATAAGCAATTTATCAGATACAGAGTTCAGAGTACTGATCATAAGGATGCTCAACAGCATGAGAAAAGAAATGGAAACTATAAAGGAAATTAAGAATGACGTAGATATAAAAAAAACATTGGAAGGAATGAACAGCAGATTAGGGGAAGCTGAGGATTGGATCAGCAAATTAGAAGGCAGGGTAGGAAAAATCACTCAATCAGAGAACCAAAAAGAAAAAACAAAAAGCAGGAGGACAGTTTAAGGAAGCTGTGGGACAACATGAAATGTATTTGCATCATAGGAGTGCCAGAAGAGGGTCAAAAGTAAGCAAGGGTTAGAGAACCTGTTTGAAGAAATAATGGCAGAAAACTTCCCTAACCTGGTCAAGGAAAAAGTCACACAAGTTCAGGCACAGAGAGTCCCAAGTAAGAAGAACACAAATAGGCCCACACACAGATACATTATAATTAAAATGCCAAAAATTCAAGACAGAGAATCTTAAAGGCAGCAAGAGAAAAGCAAGCTGTTACCTACAAAGGAGCTCCCACAAGGCTTTCCGCTGATTTCTCATCAGAAACTCTACAGGCCAGAAGGGAATAGCATGAAGTATTCAAGGTCATGCAAAACAAGGATCTAAAACCAAGAATACTCTATCCAGCAAGGCTATCATTGAAATAAAGGTGAAATAAAGAGCTTTCCAGACCAAAAAAACAAACAAAAAAACATCAACACACACACGCAAAACCCTAAAGGAAGTTATCACCACCAAAACAGCTTGCAAGAAATGTTAAAAAGACTGCTGAAATGAAAAGCTGAAATAGAGAAAATGAGAAACATAGACATAAAGAAATAAAATGGCAACAGATAAGTACTCATCAATAATAATATTAAATATAAGTGGATTAAATGTCCCAATCAAAAGACATAGGGTAGCTGAATGGATAAGAAAACCAGACCCAAATATATGCTGTCTACAAGAGACCCTCTGAAGAATAAGACTCACACAGGCTGGGGGAAAAAAAAAAAAGAAGACTGGAGGACTTTAAAGGAGAGATTGNAAAAAAAAAAAAGACTGGAGGACTTTAAAGGAGAGATTGACAGCAATACAGTCATAGTAGGGGACTTTAACACACCACTGACTTTACTGGAGAGATCTTCCAGACAAAAAATCAATAAGGAAACAGTGGTTCTGACACACTAGATCTGATGGATTTAATTGACATTTATGGAACATTTCACTCCAAAGCTGCAGAATAGGCATTCTCCTCAAATGCACATGAGACATTCTCAAAGATAGACCACGTTAGGACACAAAACAAGTCTCTACAAGAGCAGAAGACTGAAATCATATCAAGCATCTTCTTGGACATTTACAGCATGGAATATTATACAGCTGTAAAAAAAGAAGGATCCCTTACACTATGAGACAACATGGTGGGACCTGGACAGTATTATGCTAAGCAAAATAAGCCAATCAGAGAAAGAGAAGTGTCACATGATCTTACTCATGTGTAGAATCTAATGAACAGAATAAACAGATGAACAAAATAGATCCAAAGAAACAGAAGCATGGAACAGACNGGTGGGGAGAGATTAACATAAGAACTTATATGCATATATGCATAACCCATAGACACAGACAATACTGTGGTGAAAGCCTGGGGCGAGGGGTGCTGGAGGGGAGGGGATCAATGAGGGAAAAGGGGGGACATCTGTAATACTTTCAACAATAAAGATAAATTTTTTTAAAATGAAGGTTAAAAATCTATATTCGCAAATGACATATTTTGTTCGTGGAAAATCCTAAGGAGTCCACACAAAAATTACTATAACGAATTCAGAAAAGGTCACACAATGTAAGATCAATATACAAAAATTAATTATATTTCTATATACTAGCAATAAACAATTGGAAATTAAGAAAACATTTACAGTGGTACCTCGATTTTCGAACGTCTCTGTTGACGAACATTTTGATTTACCAGTGCCGTAAACCCAGAGGTAAATGTAAATGCTTCCATTTTCGAACATGCCTTGAAAGTGGAACATGCCCCACGGCTTCCGCTGAGGGCAAGGTCCTGAGGCCTAGCTGTCAGCTATTGATCCCTCGGTTTTCCAACGTTTCAGAACTTGAACGGTCTTCCGGAATGGGTTACATTTGAAAACCAATGGTGTACCACTCACTGTATATACATTTGTAATAACATAAAAAAGAATAATATGCCTGGGAATCAATTAATAAAGGGAGTGCAAGACTTGTACTCTGAAAACTGCAAAATGTTGCTGAGTTGTCTTGCAGACGTTTTCCAGCAATCCACACACTTTCCAGAGGCTGGTGCACAACCAGGACGGGACTTTGGCCCATAAAAAATGTCAGGTCATTGTACAGTTTTCCAAAAGTCCTGCTAGGATTTTTATTCCAATTATATTAGCGTTCTATATTATTAATTTGGGTAGAATTGACATCTGTGCAATCTTAAATATTCCCATTGATGAAAATGACGTCTCTCCATTTACTCAGTTCTTTTAAGCCCTTGAAGGGAAATTTAAACATTTTCTCTACAAAGGCCAAGTGCATTTTTGTTAGTGTAATTTCGGGACACTGTATTTTCGTTGGTATTGTAAATACCTTATTTTCCTATTTTACTTGCGAATTTTCTAAATGGTTATTGCTGATATGAAGGAAAGTTAATCATTTTTATATTTGATTTTAACATGGTCAAAATAAAATTCTCAAGTTCTAATAGTTCGATTCTGTTGGGTTTTCTATGGAAATGGTCATATCCCTCCGCTCTTTCTAGTAAACGCGCTGCGACTTGCGGGGGCT